ATTTATTTTCAAAGTGAACCAATTCATGAAGTTCTGTTCTCTTTGAATAGAGCATGCTTTTGAACGGTGTCTCCTCCGTCCACAGACCAGAAGACTACTGAATTCAATATATATGTAATGAAAACCGGCTGTGATAGCAAAAAAAACATTGGTGCTACATCATCCGTTCGTCAAACACTTACTGCCCAGGAATAAAGGTAGCAGGAAAGCGATATGCATGCGGGGGACAATCGATACAGAAAAATTTCAGATAATGAATCAGCGATCTTGGTAGCTTGCTGCAATAATCCAATACTGTTGTGAATACACAAAAAACGAATTGTCATAGAATGTTTGTGAGCATAGAATCAATAACTAGTTAGTGGTTCGAGCAACAACTGTCGCTGATCAAAATTAATAAACATTATAATCCCGTATCAGTCAATCAGTCAGTTTCACTGACTGTTTATCCTTCTGGTCACGGACAGAAACACGTCAAAGATCAATGAGTGCTCCCAATGTTCTTGAAGCGGTGCCAGCATTGGAGCTTCGGCTAAAGACAGTTCGAGTCTGGAGCAGATACATTCGATGAGGTGGCCATTCCCGAGGTGTTGAGCCGCTCGACTCAGCAAGTAGTAGTCGTCGCGCCTTCCGTTCTGAAAGTATTCGCATGAACGCCCAAATCATCGCGTCTGAATTTTTAATCTATACCTGTCAGGGGTGACGTTCAAGTTCTCCCCGTACCGTTTGTGTGCGGGTAGAAGCTGTTGAAGAAAGATTGCCTAACGTTGGTAGAGGACATTGCACACGAGAAATATTGAAAGCAGCGATTCCTGGCCTCGTCGCAGCCCGGCTAAACCAGCGATGATGACAGTCGTAGAAACGGCAGCAGGCACCCTGTGAATGCTGTCAATCAATGGGTTCAGTGCAATGTAAGGAGATCGGCTTCCAAGAGATCACGAAGATACGAGATGCATACGTAACTTAAAGTAAAATGCATGATTTTACGAAAGCAAAACACAGAGTTGGTCTTGATAACTCCAATTACATCAGAGGAATATGGTAATAAGCACCCTGCCACGTTTTGCCAGCAATCATCTTCACACACATCACACGTGTACATGTACCTGATTCATGCTTCGTTGGAAACTCATTCGTTATCACCTTCTCAGTCTCCTACTCGCGGTTCGTTGCTAACCTCATCGTTGACTCCTCTCGTCTCATATTCATTCTCCGTTCCCGTTTCTCTCGTCTTTCAGCTATCCCTTTCCTCTTGTATGAAACTTTCTGTTTAGTGAATCGGAAGTCGCAGCGTTGCTGGACGAATGCCTGAGTTTAGTGCGCCGAATCGCCAGCGAGGATCAGAGGTCAAAACCGGTAAGCGTGAAAGGCAACTCTTTTCCGGTGCATGTTCCGTTTCTTCGCTTTACAACCGCTTCGTAGGCGAAAGACATTGCCGAAAACGACTGGAAAGAGGAGGCATCGAAGTCAGGAAGAGGGCAGCATAAATTCGTCCAACTCAGTGACTTGGAGGTAGAGAGTTTTCAACGTTCGAGCAGGCCAATTTTGCTGACTAAGGCAATGCCTTTGTGTTTCAGAAGGAAAAACTGTACATCGCGACGCTTTACGCCATCAAGCACAAAGTCGAAGTGGTAAACATCGACCCGATTTCCTCAGCCGACCTTTTCGACTTCGTTCAAGATGCCTTCGAAGTTACTGTCGAGGACCACTGGAAGTACATGGCGGATGTGCGTGAGGAAAAGGTGGGAGTAAAATGCCTTTGAGCTGCCGTGCTGTATTTCCAATGTGGTGCGTTTCAGCCACCGGCGGTGATAATCAACGTCGTGGTGGTAGAAGCCAAGGATCTGAAAGCGAAGGACGTAAACGGTAAAAAATATTTCGTTACGATGAGCATCAATATTCATACCTAGCAGTCACATTCAAGCATTCATTGATACTATTGCTATTACCGTTTCGTCGACGTCATCTAGGGCTAACAAGGCTGAACAGCCCACTGACCCGGATTTACGGTGTCTGATAGGTAGCAGTTGTGCGTCAAATTGATATTACAGTATGACGACCCATAGCTCAGATCACGAGCATCAAACAAAGCAGGTGCTGAAGCTTTTCCTGCCGTTGAGTTTCCTCATCACACCGATGACATCAACAGGGCACATATCCATATAAGCTAGCTGTGTAGTAGCGAAAAGCAGAGAGAGTAAAAGCTTTAAAATATGGCTTATTTAGTGCTCTGAATATGAATCATCGGTACAACTGGCCCAGAATCGAAAATGAGAAATACTTCAGAATGACAGAGGCAATGTTTACTGGTGCTCTACAACGAGTTTGAGGCTAGTGGACATTTGCCACACGAAAAAGGTTCGGTTTATACGCAATCACATCCCATTGCTACCTAAAAATCATTGAGACAGTAGCACTAAAATGAGGTATTTCGCAAATCCGATAAGCTGCCCAGACTGGGTGACAAAATGTCCAATATACACTAGATATTTGGCCCTCAATCAGTCTTTTGTCTGGACGACACTTTTGTTGGGAGTGCCGATAACTCCGTCGATTTGCATTCTGATCACATTTCAAATAATCTTACTCGTGTCTGAAATGTTTATTAACACACAACGCAAACAAATAAGTTGGTAAGTCAGGAGACTGAATGGTACGGACGTTTCGGCTCGTCCCTCCCGAGTTTTCTTCAGAGAACTGCTGGTTGTTTTCTACAGTTGGTTCTGTGGCCCACAGCAGTTATGTCTTCTGGAGTCAAAAGGTGCTCTTAGCCCATGCTGACAAAACCTATCCAACATGCACAGAGTTCGAATCCTTTGTCCTGCTGGACATTTCCGCAGAATTGAATTATTAAGGCTTCCTTGATTGGTCTGCCCAACCATTTTCTTTCTTTGACGACGCCCAAACAGTATGACCATTTGGGGTGGGGCGTACAGCCGAGAAACGCGAACAACCACCTGATTGATCAGCTTTGTTTGCATTGTGTATAATTAAACTTTTTTATACATTTTTCAGCTTTCAATTTTAGTTTCGGTTTTAAACAAAAAATAAATTTTGTGAGTGGTAAGCTTTCTTTACCAAAATGCTCATATGCGGAGTAAACTCTCTGAAATATTTTTGGAATGAACATTTTTAACTATGATCTTCATGTGAAGCTGCGCAAAAGCCAAGAGGAGGGTATACCGAAATGTCGTGGTTTATCATTTATTTTTCTTCGATTTTCTAGCGTGATCGCTTTAACAGAGGTCCGCTGTTGGAGTCAACTGGCTCCACTGCTGCTGGTTATTATATGAACTTCTTAAATCTGATTAAACGATATCAGTTGCAAATCTTTATCTTCTTTGTTCCCCCATTTTTCAATGGAATTCCACAATTCCGCAATTTTCGCAAGTTCTCGAGTGATAATGAGAGAATCTCTGGCTACCGCAGTTATCTGTGTGTCATCGACTCAGTAGTCGTAGCACTGTGCATATTAACTTAGCAACTAATATGAAATATTTCCTCCTAGCCGGCATTTCAAAATTTTGCCTTCAATCGAAGAAGAGACAGAATCTACCCTATACCATTATTCCAAAACCACAGACGCGTTCATACCCTTGCAATTTTCCTCTTCTCATGCCATTGCATCGAAGACAATGCCGGATATCCTACGGGTATTGCACCGGCATCGAATTTGGCTTAGTTCTGATGTGTTAATTCTAATGTCATATGTCTTGCCGTCTTGTTAGAGATATTTCTGGCGTCAGGTGTGTGCATTCGGTATTCGCATCGATGGTACATGACAATGACACGCCTTCTTTAATGAGTGGCTTGCAGTCAATCGGTCACTTAGTCGGTAATCTTCTCTTTCTCTCCAGTAGGAAAATATTCGACACAATTTATTACCGTTCTACTTACAATATTGACCCTGAAATCTTCATTTCAGTCACTTCTATTTCCTGTTCTCAGTTTGAGTGGGAGTTGCTTTCGTCAGGCCATAGGCAAGTTATTCAGAATGTAAACGCTGCATGCCTGAACCTTTGTGCCATGACCAACGTCTTTGACCTCAGTGCCTGTCTAACCGAATGCCACCGAGAGCGCCTATGAACTTCTTGTGGCACTTTTCCATCTGACGCCACTGTACTCTCGAAGGAAGATAGGTCTTGCGATGCCTTTCCCTCAACTTCATCGATGTCAAGCGTAAGACGGTCAGCTTATATCGCTACAGTATCAATCGTAAAATGTCGCTTTAAAATCAAGATTAATATTTCACTGCCTATTAGCCGGTCGTGACTGTTGCTCCTTCGGTTGTCCCAGGCGTTCCTCAAGTTCTCACGATTCGAAATCTTTAAGGCACCAGCGATCCGTACTGTGTGCTGAGCGTCGCCAGCGGAACCGTGTCGGCGTCTTCAAGACGCGTCAGCACCGCTGATGACGATTCACCGGAGCTGCCCTGCTCTAAAGTAAGCACGGGATACAGTTGAGGTGGCTTTTTGTCCGCGATGCCTAGACAACACGTGTTGTTTCGCAGGAGCTGGAAAAACGACTCTCCGGTCAGTTTGTCGAGAAGGTCACTCTGGACAGCAGAGACATGAAATGTGTCAGTGAGGTCAAAGCAACGTCCGTCAAACGCTGCACGCTGAATCCCGTGTGGAACGAGAAGTTTCAAATGTAAGTATTGTTCAGGTTTTTAATAAATGTCGTAGACGCGCAACGGTTGCGCATACAGCTCAAATTTAGAGGTGGCTTTTATGAACTGTTCCTTTATGAATCAGTTTGCATGAACAAGGCAAGGGACCGTATTCAAATTCCCACACTGCTTTTGTAAGCATAACAGGCTTTGATGACATCAGCGCATGGTTCATTGCTACGAAATAACTTTCATGGATTAAAATTACTTCATATCGTCCCATCATGGAGGTTCCAGGGAGACCAACATCCCAGTTATTAGAAATTTTATTTTAATTTTCTTTGGTGAGTGATAAGCGTGATGTTTAACAGATCATGCCACCGACTTTATAGACCACCTGTTAGTACTTGCTTAAGTAACAGCGAACAGTAGTAGTTTAAAGGAGTTTTGGAACTTAGTGTAGTGCCAGCAATGCAGAGGCATATGTCACATGACGATCCTTTGAAAACAGCAGGGAGCAGCAGCTCTTGAAGACGTCAAAACGTTGCGTCTCCGCTTGTATTATAAAATTCACCAGATCCATGAGTCCAATGATCAGCTGGATGCACAGGTGAACTTCAAAGAATCATCTTTGTTACTCTTCAACTATCTTTGCTACGGAGCGGTATCGAGATTGGCCAAGAATATCCCTCAGAAAATTTATTTGCTATCACAGTGCTAGAAAGAAACGGGAGAATACATGTAGTTGCTGTCGAGCTAGAGGTAGTGGCCTAAAAAATGTGGTTCTCATTAATAACATCGTGATCTAGATCAGTGT